ACAATCTTCTTGTGATTGGAGCTCTTATCAGAGCTCATTGACTCCCCGATCGACACGAAAACTCCATGCGATCAAGAGCTCCTATCGGAGCTCATTGACTCGCCAATCGAGAAATAATCTTCATGCGATTGGGAGATCTTATTACAGCGCATTGACTCCCCGATCAACAAGCAAACTTCTTGCGATCGGGAGCTCTTATCAGAGCTCACTGACTCCCCGATCGAGACACAATCTTCTTGCGATCGGGAGCTCTTATCAAAGCTCACTGATTCCCTTATCGAGACACAATGTCCTTGCGATCGGGAGCTCTTACTGACTCCCCGATCAACACACAAACTTCTTGCGATTGGGAGCTCTTATCGGAACTCGATGACTTCTCGATCGAGATACCATCTTCTTGCGAATAGGAGCTCTTATACCAGCTTATTGACTCCCCTGATCGACTCTCTAACTTCTCGCGATCGAGAGCTTTTATCAGAGCTCATTGACTCCACGATCGACACTCAAAGTTCTTGCGATCGGGAGCTCTCTTCAGAGCTCATTGACCCCCCGATCGAGACAAATAATCTTCTTGCGATGAGAAGCTTTTATCAGATCTCACTGACTCCGCGATCACCACACAAACTTCTTGCGATCGGGAGCTCTTATCGGAGCTCATTAACTCGCCGATTGAAACACAATCTTCTTGCAATCGGAAGCTCTTATCAGAGCTTGCTGAGTCCCCGATCAACGCGCAAACTTCTTGCAATCGGGAGTTCTTATCAGAGCTCATTGACTCCTCTAGCAACACAGAAACGTCTTGCGATCGCTAGCTCTTATCAGAGCTCACTGACTCCCCGATTGAGGCACAGTCTTCTTGCGATCGGGAGCTCTTATCCGAGCTCATTGACTCTCCGATCATCATTGAAAGTTCTTGCGATCGGGAGCACTTTTCAGAGCTCATTCACCCACCGATCGAGACACAATCTTCTTACAATGAGAAACTCTTATCAGAGCTCACTGACTCCGCGATCAGCACACAGACTTCTTGCGATCGGGAGCTCTTATTGGAGCTTATTGACTCCCCGATCGAGACACAATCGTCTTGAGATCGGAAGCTCTTATCAGAGATCATTGACTCTCCGATCAACGCAGAAACGTCTTGCGATTGGGAGCTCCTATCAGAGCTCACTGACTACCCCGATCGAGAAACAATCTCCTTGCGATCGGGAGCTCTTATCAGAGCACACTGACTCCCCGATCAACGCACAAACTTCTTGCGATCGGGATCTCTTATCAGAGCTCATTGACTCCCCGATCGAGACACAATCTTCTTGCGATAAGGAGCTCTTATCAGATCTCACTGACCCCCGATCAACACAATCTTCTTGCGATCGGGAGCTCTTATCAGAGCTCACTGACTCCCCGATCAATACGAAAAATTTTTACGATCGGGAGCTCTTATCAGAGCTCATTGACTCCCCGATCAACACACAATCTTCTTGCGATCGGGAGCTGTTATTAGAGCTCTTTGACTCCCCGATCGAGACACAATCGCCTTGCGATCGGGAGCTCTTATCAGAGCTCACTAACTCCCCGATCAACTCACAAACTTCTTGCGATTGGGAGAGCTCTTATCGGAGTTCGTTGACTTCTCGCGATCAGAAGCTCTTATAACAGCTCATTGACTCCCTGATCGATTCTCCAACTTCTCATGATCGCGAGCTTTTATCAGAGCTCATTGACTCCACGTTAGACTCGCAAACTTCCCGCTATCGGGAGCTCTTATCAGAGCTCGTTGACTCCCGAATCGACACACAAATTTCTTGCGATCGGGAGCTCTTATCAGAGCTCATTGACTCCCCCATCACCACGCAAAGTTCTTGCGATTGGGAGCTCTTATCAGAGCTCGTTGACCCCCCCAATCGAGACCAATCTTCTTGCGATCAGGAACTCTTATCAGAGCTCGTTGACTCCCTGATCGAGACACCATCTTCTTGCGAATGGCAGCTCTTATTAGAGCTCGTCGACTCCCCGATGTGGACACAATCTTCTCGCGATCAGGAGCTCTTATCGGAGCTCATTGACTTGCCGACCAACGCAGAAATGTCGTGCGATAGGGAGCTCTTATCAGAGCTCACTGACCTCCCGATCGAGACACAATCTTCTTGCGATGAGAAGCTCTTATCAGAGCTCACTGACTCCGCGATCGTCACACAAACTTCTTGTGATTGGGAGTTCTTCTAACAGCTCATTGACTCCCCGATTGAGACACAATCTTCTTGCGATTGGGAACTCTTATCAGAGCTCCTTGACTCCCCGATCACCACGCAAACTTCTTGCGGTAGGGAGCTCTTATCAGAGCTCACTGACTCCCCGATCAACACACAAACGTCTTGCGGTAGGGAGCTCTTATCAGAGCTCATTGACGCCCCGATCGAGACACATTTTTTGCGATAGAGGCTCTATTTAGAGCTTATTGAATCCCTATTCCGGTGACACAAATTTCTTGCGATAGAGGCTCTATTTAGAGCTTATTGAATCCCTATTCCGGCGACACAAACTTCTTGCAATAGATAGCTCTTGCCAGAGCTCATTGACTCCCCAGTAGACTCATATACTTGTAACAATTGGTTGTAGCAATTGGTTTCAACGCGATATGAAATTCACTGAATTCTTTTTGCCTTTGTAAATGGAGCGTGATCAATGGTAAGGTATTTTTCGAGTGAACAGCATCTGCCATCCATTCTTTTCAGCTTTTTAAACTATATTTCACAAAATCACTTTTTCATCAGCCCACAAAATTTTAATTTATTTTATGAGTAGTTCCAGATGCATTGCTGAAAAGTTCCTAGCGCATAACTATTGTTACTTTCAAAAGTACTTTACCATCCCTAATAGCAAGTCACTATCCCCACCATTGGCGGCTACGACTTAGGCAGCGATGATCTTTTGGTACCAGGCTCTCATAATCTGAAGTCATACCTTTTGTGTAGTGAGAAGGGGGGAGGAGATGGGGGGGCATAAGGTCTACTTTTTCTGGCTTCTACTATTATTGAAGTTTCTTCATAAATCTAGCTTCAGCATTTGCAGACTAAAGTTCAAGATCTAAATGAGAGTTTGACAGCAACTCGAGAGGCAGCACATACAGCTAAGAGAAAATGGTATCAGGTCAGTACATTTGACGTCCAAAAACTGCTATTATACCCAATTTAATTTAAGTTAATCAGCACTTAAACAACTGAAAGTCAACCGCCTTGACCTCAGTAGGTGATAGTGGTCGTTGGTCAGTCTCACACGTGCAGGCTCGTGCGTCATTGGTCAGTCTCGCACGTGCAGGCTCGTGGAACGCTGGAACTTCGTTACAGGCGAATCTTGGAGCTAAAGTGTAGTTTTGGTATCAGACATTTTTTCGAGCATATCTCTGCTTCTGGAAACCCCAGGCAACCACCTTCCATTTATCCATGGCAATGGTTTAACTTGATTCTACAGAAAGAATCATGTGTTCATGTTTTTGTGGATGTTCCACCTTTTTTACGTAAAATACCTTTATAAGGCGAATATTTGCTTAATCTCTCTCGTAACTTTAAACAATATTTCGTTTTCCTTTTTATATATTTAATTTGATTCTAATATGGATTGTGTACCTCAATTTCAGGCTTTCGAGGAACATTCTGAAGTCCTTAAGGCGAGAGATGCTATGATTGCTGCTCTGCAAAGTTCTTTGAGTGGAAAAGATTTGGACTTAGAGGTACATGTGTTCTAAGTAAAAAGTACATGCTACAGTTTTTGTTCATCGTGGTTTAATAGATATTGACAGACCTCGATTTCCAAGCTGCACTGATGCAAAGCATTGGAAAATGAACCCTAAGCCCTTGGTTCCGACAAGACATTCACCTCCTTGTTGGTGACAAATCTCGATAATTTGTAAAACTTCGTCCAATAATCGTGAATAAAATTAAGACCAGTGCCACTCTGGATAATGTTTTAGGCACTCAATTTGCCTTGAATTTTATCTATTTATTTATTTATTTATTTTTTCTTTCAGAAACTTATTCAGTCCTTGTCTTCAAAAGAAGTTGAACTTCAGAGATTGAACAATGGCAAACTCCTCCTTGAAAATCGCTTGGATGAAGTGCTAAAGCAAAAAGAACGCGAGCAAGCTGTGAGTCCAGAATCGTTATACTTATTTCTCTATACAGGCTGATCAGTGACAGTGAAACACATATAAATATATATCTTATGCTCAGTGGTTTTGCTGGGATGTAGAATGGCTGAAATTACATCTGTACAGTTTAAAATATATAGGGATGGTAACCAAATTATGCAAACCACTTTTTGGCATTCTGTGTTGCTGCATTAGTTGATTGCCATCCTCAGCCCTCAACCTTGAATTTCTAGGAACTGATGGAAAAACATAGAGCGCTTTCTCAAGAACACTATTCCAAGATGGACGCTCTCGAAGAAGCTTATCAGGTAAACATGCAGTAGGCCTTTTTGTCAGTGATTGTTGTCTTTAAAGTTATGGATGGGTTTGAGTATTTCTTCAACGTGTGACTTTTTGAGAAATCATTCAACTAATCAGAGAGCTTCCTTAGTAAATAAAGATCTAAAGCGGCAAATAGTATCAGAGCAACAGGACAAAAATGGTAATTCATACCAAGGAACAACAGTGCACAGAATTTGGCAGCAGGAACTATTCGCTAGTTGCATGAGCCGTATAGGTCACGGTATTTTAAGTCCTAAGGTGTCTTCTAAATCCAGAGAACATTTCATTTGAGTGCCGTAAACACAAAAACAAGGTTATCACAACGACCGATGAGGGGGGACTCCAGGTGAAACAAGGAAACTGCCGAAGCGCGGGGAAAAGTAGTGACAAAGATCCAATTATTTCAAGTTTGTATATGATTAGGGAACCCCGAGTTTTCTGGAACACAGAGTCACGTTTAGTAAAACCATTGCCGTAATCCTGGACTACTCTCGACGCTCAAATGAAAATTGCTGTCCCTCAGAAGGAAACCTCAAGTCAGTTGATAGAGAATTTTTGTGTACAAGATTAGGATGAACCAGAAAGGGACGATGATAGCCAAAGATAGTGGAGAGAAATTTTATCACAGGTTTGCTTTGTTTTCCATTTTGAATGTTGGTTGTTTGTCCTCAGCACGTGACTGCCGGTGCTCAAGAGCAACTCGATGCCAAGGACAGACTCATCCAAAAGCTAGCAGTTAACAACAAGGAAAAGGATAACTTAATAGCGGTAGGTGTTTCCTCCCTTTTTTTCGTTATTTACCCTTTTAAGATAACCAAGACACCAATTAGTGAGAAGCTATTAACTTATGGTATGGTAACATTATTTAATTTTTTCACCTTTGATTGAAACACAAGTAACAGTGGACCAAATCCCTCTGTAAATTTATTTACCTTCAAAAGTTGTCTCTTTTGAAGCAAGTCCAATTATTATGCATTAAAAACAATGGTGGTCATCTGTCTTGTTTTCAGGTTATTAGAATTAAACGCTGAAAAAGATTATTTAAGAAAATGGTAGACTTTCGCAACATTTTCCAGATTCGCATCACGTCGGTCATTTTGGCCCACACGATTTCTAGATTGGTATCTTGGGAATTTTCAAATCGAATTTCAAGTCCATGGGTAAAGTTAACTCACCTATTGACTCGTTTAAAGAAGGCATGCTCGCGTAAGAACGAAGTAGATTTTTCTTGTTTCGAAAGTTTTCCCAACAGTTCACGCCTTTGGGTGACCACATGTCCAAATATGTCAACACTCTAAAACACTCAAAAAACGGACCGCCAATGGAAACAAAGGGAGCGTCCTGCAGAGACTCTCAGTATAAAATATCTAACAGTTACAAATGTACTCTTGACAGACCTTTAGTTCGATTCTGCTAAACGGAAATTTTGATTTCAACTTAAACAACGACTCAAAATGTTCTTTGAGTCGTTGCTTTCAAGGTTATAATGTGCATCATCGTGTCCAATTGTACGAACTGATTCCTTTTCCAGAATTATTGTCATCGATTGATATTTTCATATAGGCTGTTGTAATTTGTTTATAACTAGGACTTCATAGAGGCCTTAAAGGGAAGTGGTATGGATGATTCAGTAGTCCAGGTAGGTAGTACGGAAAGATGTGTTGGTTTTTCCGTCTCGAAAAATGTTTGCCTATTCTTTCCTGTCTTTAGCTATCCTCTGTTCTTTTTGGCCTATTTTCACCCTTCCGTATCTTGTATATCTAAACGCATTCTTATTTCTCATACAAGCNAGTGGACCAAATCCCTCTGTAAATTTATTTACCTTCAAAAGTTGTCTCTTTTGAAGCAAGTCCAATTATTATGCATTAAAAACAATGGTGGTCATCTGTCTTGTTTTCAGGTTATTAGAATTAAACGCTGAAAAAGATTATTTAAGAAAATGGTAGACTTTCGCAACATTTTCCAGATTCGCATCACGTCGGTCATTTTGGCCCACACGATTTCTAGATTGGTATCTTGGGAATTTTCAAATCGAATTTCAAGTCCATGTGTAAAGTTAACTCACCTATTGACTCGTTTAAAGAAGGCATGCTCGCGTAAGAACGAAGTAGATTTTTCTTGTTTCGAAAGTTTTCCCAACAGTTCACGCCTTTGGGTGACCACATGTCCAAATATGTCAACACTCTAAAACACTCAAAAAACGGACCGCCAATGGAAACAAAGGGAGCGTCCTGCAGAGACTCTCAGTATAAAATATCTAACAGTTACAAATGTACTCTTGACAGACCTTTAGTTCGATTCTGCTAAACGGAAATTTTGATTTCAACTTTAAACCGGCTCAAGGCGATTCCTCAGAAAAAACGTTATCAAACAATTATTTTAAAACTTTCCTTAAATGATTTCTACCCATGTCAGTTTCGAAAAATACTTTTAAAAGATGGGTCACCGTGCTTGTTTAAGAGATATGATGGGCCAAACTTACCCCATTTATGCCTGTACTCACACTAATCACGCGCGTTATTTTATCGATTCACGGTATATTTTGAGGTAGCTTGAAGCAAGGGCTTTGAAAGGAACAATTCCAAAAAAAGTTGATGGTAGAAAGTCCCGAGCGTATGGAATAATTTGATATATAAATTGTGGAAAAATCACGCAATTTTAAACAACGACTCAAAATGTTCTTTGAGTCGTTGCTTTCAAGGTTATAATGTGCATCATCGTGTCCAATTGTACGAACTGATTCCTTTTCCAGAATTATTGTCATCGATTGATATTTTCATATAGGCTGTTGTAATTTGTTTATAACTAGGACTTCATAGAGGCCTTAAAGGGAAGTGGTATGGATGATTCAGTAGTCCAGGTAGGTAGTACGGAAAGATGTGTTGGTTTTTCCGTCTCGAAAAATGTTTGCCTATTCTTTCCTGTCTTTAGCTATCCTCTGTTCTTTTTGGCCTATTTTCACCCTTCCGTATCTTGTATATCTAAACGCATTCTTATTTCTCATACAAGCCAACACTGAGGGTACAAACAATGACTTGTAATAACGTGTTGTAAATCTTGAATATTGCAAGTCGTAGTTTGGTTATAAGGTCGAGAAAGGTGAATGGTAAGAACCTAGTCACCCATCTCTGGCAGAGCACTACCACCCCCTCCCTCTAATTTCGTCAGCAAGGTAGTATGATACGAAAGCACTTTCCCAAAGCTTGAGTATTGCTTACCAAATTTTAAAATCCCCTCAGCTTTGATCCGTGCTACTGATTTTCCAGCGACTCGGGGGGATGACATTAATTTTTCTCATTTTGCAGGGCTCAACTGATGATCAGGAGAATCTTTTGAAGAAACTGACCAACTACACAAAAGAGAAGGATCGTGCACTCCAGGTTGGTTATCCACCACTAACCTAACATTGTAATTTAACGCAGAAATTAAATTTTTGCAACATCATGAACGTGAGAGTCAAGACCCTCAAAGACTAATTGGTCTGTCTACTTGAAATGAGGGGAAAAGAGGAAGCAAACAAAATTTCCTTTCGCGGTTTAGGCTCTTTTCTTTTCAAAACCCCTTTGGAAAGGCTGGTCCTATTTATTTGAACCCAGGGACGTCTGCATACCAGAGCACTGCGTAACGGCTCAAGATACTGGTGGATCTTCCCTTCTGTAAATATCAGGCGCAAAGAAGCTTTGTTCTAAATTCTCAACTGAAAGTCCTGCTCTACTGCAGTATGTGATTGGTCTAGAAAAACTCGAGTCACCTTCTAAACCAATCAGATGTCGAGCTTAAACTAACTGTGTCCTGACCACTCACGTTTTCTCGCGCTTCAGCCTGATGACATGTATTCATTTTGAGATTTCATCGGGTCTTTTTGATATTTACCTTTATTCCTATTGACCACTGTACTCGACTGGCTCAAAAAGTGCTCCAATGGACCTTATAACGTAACCAAAGTAAGGCGTGCGTTCTGATTGGTAAATTTAGCGCCCACCATTTGCCCATGGGTGTACGCTGCTGACGTGAGCAAATGCAAAGATTAGTTTTTGCGGGCTTGTTTTTTCTAATCACGTTAGATTTCATTGTTAAATAAAAGCGAACTACAGTGTATCAATGTTGTGTTATTGAACAAATAATAAACACCACAGCGTACAATATTTGCATTTGGGAGGTTTCCTAAGCACTCAAGAAACTAGAGTCTCTCTCGGCTGTCGCCTCGAGCGATTCTTGCGTTTCTTTCGTGCTTAGCAACCTCCCGCGTGCATCCATAACTCACTAGTGCACGCTGGGGTGTTCACCATTTGTTAACCTCAATCTCTTTGCGAGCGCGACTTCAAATTTACCATCGAGAGTTGCCAGGAAACATCATAAAGTGGAAATGTAGTTCTAATTGTTTCTTGTCACCGATTCCGCATTTGCTCCGCTCAGTAAAATATTAGAAAAGCAGCGACCACCTAGATTTGAACATGTGCGTTGCATTTCGACACAAAAATTATCAAATTACATTTCATTTTGTCTAATCATGATTGCAGGTTGCAGCTGAAGAAAAAGTGCGAGCTTTGCAAGGAAAAGAAGCCGAGCTGCAGCAGTTGAGACAGGCCCTGAGAGAGAGGGACAGGCTGATTGAAAAGATCAACACCGCTGTCCTTGAATCCCAAGAAAAGAATAAAGTAAATGAACTAAAAGTGTTACACGATTTAACTTCATTACTGTTGTGCGGTACGTTTTTGGAGAAGCCAGTCAATTTGAATTTTTATTATTTTTCGCACTGATATTTACTATGGCTCAGAAGTGATTTCCTTGTCAGAGCTATAGAAGTGTCTTTTAGTGACCACTGTTACTGACCACGAGCCTTTTTACGCTTGTATTTGTCCAGCTATTAGAACGAACAAGCAAAGAAAGAAATGAAGCTTTACAAAAAACGATGTCATCGTTAGAGGAACAACTTAAGGGAAAAAAGGTATTTATATCAGGTTTAAATATTGAAAAGTGGCGACCCTTAACCCTTTAACTATCAAGATCTAAATTCTAATTCTCCCCTCTAGCTGCTACACATTTCCATGTAGATTTGTTACAAGAATTTGATGTTAGATCAAGATAGCAACGTCTACCTGATGATTTTGAGTATTCTCCTTGCATGTTTGCTGAATGATGTATGAAGAATTTACATGTTAATCCCTTCTGAGAGTTGAAGGGTCAGTGATTTATTCGAAGGTTCTAAGATATCTTGAAAAATCAGTTGGACAATCTGTCTGCAGACACCACGACTTAATTTCGAATTGCTAAAGGAAATGTCAAGATATAGGATAGAAAGACGGAAATTGGCAAAGGACGGGAAAAGTGCATAAAGGGTGGCAGATATTTGAACAATTCTACTACCCAGTGTTGTTGTAAGCGGTCAGGTAGAGCTTCCTTCTTCAGCTGGATATGCGTTTCTTGCACAACAGGGAGATTTAGAAACAAAAGAAGCCAGTTTAAAAGAGAAAGAACTTGTTATTCAGAAACTGAAACACACTCTGAACCACAGGGAAGAGGAATTAAAGGTGAGTGCTGTTTGGTAAAGGGAAATCTCAGACAATACTTATTTAGAGTTATGCTAACTGCTCACGCAAAGTGATTTAACACCTTTCATAGGGTTAAATTTCACGAAGCTCTCGTTTCCAAAAATTATTCTTCACGTTCTCTCGTGCAGTCCAGATAACTATTCACGAATTTTTCCAGAATTCTCACGTAAAAAATAACTTGAGACCTTGGTTCGCTTGCGACCAGGTCGCAACCAACTGATAGGGACCAGAGAAAGAGCAAATGAGGGAGACGGAGAAAAAGAAAAAAATTGTCCCCCTGTGAGGGAATAACGAAGGAATATTCTATCATGCTAGGAGCTAAACATTGAGTAAATGGCATTTATCTTTGTTCCTCTAAAACCACCTTTTGTCCCTCTTTCGTGGTTTCTGGAATCTGTTTTAAGCTTAGGTTTCTAATTTCTCTTTTGCTTATAGGAACTAAAAGACTTTGTGAAAAACGCCCTTAGCAGTCCAGACGAGGTTTGTGGTTGTAATTACTGATTATGCTGAGCAGCCTTGCTTTTTTAGTTCAACCCCTTCCCAAGAGTGACTAGGGTTGAATTTCTCTCGGCTCCGTTGTATCAATACATAGTGTTGTGAGAGCAGTGACTATTACATTGACCCCAGGAAGTAGTGTCCACAGTAGAACTCTATTTTCACTCTTGTATCTTATAGGATGAAAGTTTATCGGATGAGGTGAAGAAGGCCCAGGAAATATCCGAATTGTTGAAAGAAAAGGAAAAACTTCTAGAGGTAAATAATCTAAATGTCTTTTAGCAGATTTCCACTCAGTGACTTGATCTTTAGCCGTTTTTTTCAGTAGGGTCGGTGACAGTTTTTATTAATCAGAATAGGGTAGGTAGACACAAAAATACACCAAAACCGAACAGAGTTGGTCAGGAATGGAGATGGTCAACACGGATTGCTAACGACCACCCAAGAGGATTTACGCCCACACCACTTTACTATAAGAGACTCTTCATGGTGATGAGGCTATTGAGGTGTTTTCATTTGGCAAACTAGACTAGAACGTCGTATGGTCACAAAGCCTTTACATGGTGATGTAAGTGCGCATCTTTCGAGTCTAAAACTAAGTATCTCTTTATTTTTGTTTTTGTGTTTTGTTTGGTTTTGTCAGGACATGTTCCAGGAGCGCGCCAGGTTATCATCTACTAATGAGGCCAACACTCAGAGGCTCATGGCTGCCTTAAGAGACAAGGAGACTGCACTCAAGGTTAAAATCCGATTAAAAAACTTCATGTAAAAATTAGTTGTGTAGTCACGAGCTTTTTACCCCCCCTCCCCCTGTGCAGGCTGTTTATATGAAGTTTGGAGACGCTTCCAATAAGTCTAAACCAAATGTTTACAGTCCAGTTAAATCATCCGTGCATAATATCTCGTACTTAAAAAGAGCCTAATCACTATCACGCTATTATCTGCGTTGGTAAATGAATAAACAAATAAACAATCAAACAATTAATTAGATGGATGAATGAATGAAAAAATAATCCCAATTGGATTTTAGCAGTGGCAGTTGCACAGGGTTGGCTTTTAGTCCACTGTTTTCCAGGTTTAATAGGAATTCATGTTGATTATTTTTGTGGGGGAAGGAGAAGCGGAGGACACAGAAATTGAACCTCTCAGCGAGAGACGTAAAAACAAGAACGAGAAATACCGACAAAATAATGGTTTCAACTAAAGGTTTGCTTTGACGCTGTATTTAAAATTGGCCTGAAAATGTCGCAAAGTCCTCGCTTCTCTTAGGTTATTATGCCTATACAGTAGTCACCAACATCGAATCAAAAAGTATTTTACCACATACACCCCAGGTTTTTAATGAACACTTGTCAAAATGTTATCTCTGTAGGAGGCAGCTGCTGACTTGACACGTGTACAAACTGAAAAGAACTCCTCCATCCAGACTCTGCAGCAATTACTCAGCAACAAAGAACATGAAGTTCAGGTAAGATGGAAAAAGGGAAAAAAAAAAAACATCCTGCTTGCGAGCTAAGAGGTCCTCACCCCTTGAGATCATTCCAGTTTCCATGTGGCAGGAAGAAAGTTGGAGTTTGGCTTCTTTAACTACATGGAATGCTGACTCATTTCAGATTTCCCCTTTGACTTCCATGAGTGATCAAGGCAGAACTTCCTGAAATTGCAATACAATATCAAGCAGACAAGTGATGAAAATAAAATAAAATATCAATTTGGGGATAACTAGTTGATAATCCAAGACCAAATTCTCCCAACTGACATCATAAGAATTGTTTGAAGACAGTAAGGAGAATTAGGAATGAGATCTTGAGAGTGAAAGTGTTAAGCATTTCATCAGATTCCTTTGTAATATGCCGGTACCCAGTTATTTTCCTGGGTGGACGGAGTCACCGTGAAAATGAAATGCGCGAAAACACGACACTGTCTCGGACAGGGTTCAATATCAGAAGTTTAGGCTAACTAGTCCTCTCTTCTTTGCCACCTCTTTATGTGAACGTCCATCCCCATTTTTCTCTCTCTTTTTCATAGGCCCTCGAAAACAGCAAAGCCTGGGCGTCCCAGGAAAACGAGAAGTTGATAAACAAATTGAAGCTGACCGCACAAGACAAAGACAAGACGATCGCAGTGAGTCATCTCGTCAACTATAAGTAATATGGGAAAGTCTACGATTGGTCTATCACAAATGCTGCAATATGATTGGCTATTGTACTCCCTTCTATTGTGTTAGATAGCGAGTTAAGTGAGGAGACAAACAGGGTGCGAGAGCAAAGGCATAATTCTGTCTTGTTAAGTTTTGAACTACTGGGAGATTTGAGCTTAAATGATTCAATTCCGCACTCGAGATAACTATGCGTGATATTTGATTCGAGCTTCGCCCAACCCAGTATCCTGAGAGATAAATCTCGAGCTCATAATCTAATCTTTTAGCGGCTCTCCAATAAGTATTGTGTTAAGGTCCTCAAAAGAGCAGCAGGAGAGTGAAAGAACCACCCACGTGCATGTCGAATTATGTTTTCAAATAACTCACAGAGGTGTAAACCTCCACCCCTAAAAGCTTCTTCTTGAGGGAAGAAAAGAATGCTTTAACGAAAATTTCGCAGAAATGAAACGAAACATGTAGACGTTTTGCGTTAAAAAATAGTTCTTTGGATAGTGTAATCTTGCCGAAAATGTTCTGAGGTTTTCCTTTTTTTTCCTTCCCAGGGTCTTGTGGAAAGTGGACGAGAGAAAGATAAGATGTTGAAAGCGTTACAGGTAAATTCAGTTTCGGTTCGTTTTAGTTAATTTGCAGCTGTTTAAGTCAACGAAACTGTGTGTCGCCAAGGTTTGACCCAAAAGAATGATGAGATGTCTGCCTATAGTAATATTTCTTTACCTCTCTATTAACTATACCATCTAACCAAGGTTTTTACTGTGTTTCTAGGATTCCAGTAAAAGCTCACCAAAGGCACCCAGTCCCGCAGAAGTGGTAAGATTCTCTGTTACTGCTAAGCTAATCAGGTCCTCCACCAGTGAGATGATAATCTTCTTTCCTTTGTTTATTTCAAGGCGGAACTAAGGCGAAATATCGGTCTGTTACAGGCTGAAGTGCGAAAGAAAGATGGTATGTCGTGATTTCTGCCCTTTATGAAATATTAGAAGTGTCTTATTTCTCGTAGTTTATATGGCTTGGTTAAGTACAGACCTAGATTGTATTTGTCTGTTTTTCTCTCTGTATAAAGAGAGAACTGTTCTTTCGATATGCAGCGCAGACTGTACACGAGAATATATTCGAACGAGACGCCGACTAGACAGGGTGTGTCTCGGGTGGTCTTACTCCTCGACTCAGCTCCCTCTCAACGTACTGCATCGTGCGTTAGATTTCCCTTTACGCTCATAGAAACTTAGGGAGAAAAAAAAACAAAAAAAAAACAGACAGACTATTGGTGTTCCCGTGGAGACCAAATGCAGAACAGACTAGCGAATACCGAATGAGCCTCTAAAGTCTCAAAACAAGCTGCATGCTCCTGAAATTCACAATTGCATTAGTAGCCACCGGGCCACATTTTGTATTTTGGATATATCAACAAAGCTGAAATGGTAAATTGGCCACCGTAACGATTACAAAAGCTGACGTTTCGAGCGTTAGCCCTTCGTCGGAGCGACGAAGGGCTAACGGTCGAAACGTCAGCTTTTGTAATCGTTACGGTGGCCAATTTACCATTTCAACTTTGTTGATATATCCAAATTATTTCGTTACTCCCCACCGACGCAGCCCCAAACAGTTTCTTTCGAAACTATCAGCCTTTACACATTTTGTATAGTTTTCCATACAACCATTTACAGTCAGGTTAAGGTATTTTTATACTTTTCAACTAATACTTATTTTAGTCGATTTCAAAATTGAGGTTTTTTAGACCTGCACATTTTCGACCTACATATTTTTCCACTTAACATTTTTTTCTCTGTAGTGATTCTGTGTTTGCTTATGAGTAGTGTTGTTTTTATCTTTGTTCACACTGTCCTCATATTCAGAATCTCTGAAGAAGCTTGAATCGGATTACAGAAACAACTTGCGGAAACTGCAAGGCGACGACCAAGAGGTTCATTATTTTTTCAGATCATCGAATAACAACTCATTCACTGGGGATTTCAATATCCCATTTCCGAATTACCTTATAGCCTCTTTTTCAAAGCCAATCCTGGTGCGAATCCTTTCACCGGATAATACATTTCCATTTGCTTTCAAATTAAACTCATTTTCACTAAAATGGTGGAACACCAGGCCTCGTTTTGAAAAAGAGGCCAAGGGTAATTCATAAATGGCCTATTCTCCTCGTGTTTTGCTGTTTGTTTGAAAGCTCGGTCCAGCTGCCACCAGAGCAGCAAATTGAATAAAACCAAAATCAAACAATGGCCAATCAGGACAAAGAAAATTATCAAAGGAAACAGTAGAAACTGAAATTTAAAGAAGAAAAGAATGAATAAAACTGCCTCAAGGACGGAAAAATTCGAGTGACCAAGTAGCTTTAGGTTTAGGTTTGTGTCTAGTTGAACTTGAGGTCGTGCGATCGGTCGGACCAGTCACAGAATTTTTAAACAATTTTGTGTCCTCTCTTCTCTAACTGTTGCTAACTGTTGAGGTGTGTGTTCCTCTCTCAGAACAAGTTGAAGTTTGAGAATCTCCAACATGAAATACAGACAAGAGATGCAGTCTTAAAACAGGCAAAGTACGGAGAGTTCTTAATATTGTAATTATAGATTTTATAGATAAAAAATTATTCTTTTGTCCTAAATTTGAAGATGAACTTACACTCGGGTTTTCGACGAATCAGTCCCAGTCAATACTTACAGTTACTCCCGAGTTCTAATCAATTACTATAACTGATGTTTTGGATTTCAGTGCTTTTTGTTTGGCCGTTAATTATGAGGAAAACGTGACGTCTTTTCGGAGATGCTGGTTGGAGTGTAAACGATTGCTCAGATTTCAACGACAACAACAACACGAACTAAAACTTCCTTACAATTTATTCAGACAAAGGGGACGCAATTTCCTACTCATCGTGCCTTTTTCCTCGTTTCAGAGACTTGTGTTTTCCGTGTGACAAGTTTATTGGCTTGTTTTACTGCCGTTCTGGTTACATAGAAACACTAACAGGCGTTTCATTTCAGGGGTACAATCGATAATCTTCGCTCCAGACTTCAGAGCATCCCTAATTTAGAGGTAAGACTTGCATCGCCTCATGAATTTTCTTGGATCAAATAAACACATCTGCTTCGGCAAAGTGACACAGTAAGACTAGAGTATTCTTTCCTTTTTTGTTGTTTACCCTAGGATCTGAAGCAGAAGTTTGCAGAGCAGTCGCAGGTGAGTGTATACAATGTCACTTATGCCTGTTTATTTTGTTTCTGTCTTGCCACTCATTTTCGTAATAGATTGTTTTCTTTGCACGTCAGGCCTTGGCGGAGGCTCAAAAGGGAAAAGAGCAAGCCCTTGTTGATTCGGTGAGTCTTTCCAAAGAGAATATGATGCCGGTGAAAATGGACATTGTTAACTTACTGGGCAAATTCTTTGAAAGTACCGTAGAATCTGCTTCATGTGTTTTTTACTTAATTTTGATTCGCTAAGTACTGCTGTTGACAAAATCGCACTCAAATGCTGTTTCGTCAGTAGTACAAGTGTTTTAATGATCTATCTTGTTTACAGGCTGCGCTCAAAAAGTCTAACTTGGAGTTAGAAGCGGAACTGAAAGTTAAACTGAACAATATTGAAATGCTTAATGAGGCTGCGCAGATGAAGGACCGAATTATTAAGGTAATCGTGTGATGGCACTAAAGGATTCATGAGGGCTTAGCGGTTCATCCTGGCCTTAGAATGGCTCAGATGGGACATCCTACCTTTCAGCTGGGAACAGGCCATTTTCTATTGTTTATGTACGCAGACCTAGCAGCAGGTAGCATGATTAGGTTCCTGTTTTGGAACAATGTTTTTTTTTTTCATGGGAACAACCTCTTATGCTGACAGATTTAATCGTTCTTTGGTATTCGAAGGAGATGCAAGAAGATCAACAAAAGCAGTTAAAAGATATGAAGGAAAATATTGGATATTATCAGAAAAAAGCTCAAGAACTTGAGGTACACATAGCGAAATCTGTCAAGGGAAAGTTGCTCTTGTTGGCCTTTTCATAGTCGGTGCAAGGCACGCTTCTTTAGTATGGAATAACGACGCAAAGGCTTAACTAGTTGGCGATCCTAAGTTGCACGCATTTAGCAGCCACCTCACCCCTCCAAGCTAAGAAAGAATTATAGTTTGTTATGGAGCAGCTTGGAATATGTAAATGTGGGACCTTCCCCTCCAATGGAGTGTTTATATCCCACAAGATAACTTTAAGTTAATTGTCTGTTAAGGTGTGAAGACAAAAGATTTATTTGGTTGTGATATGAACACGATATTTTCAGGCCTCAAAAAGTTCGTTACAGCAACAGCTTATGGATACAGAAGACATGAAGAATTCACTTGAACAGCAACTCGAAAGCTACAAGAGAAGGTTGAATGATCAGGTAATTGACAAAGTTTCACTTTAAGTATGCATTTTTGGACCTTGAAGGAACTGGAGAATAAATTTTCGATTTCATCATTTGCAATCCGTTGTAGTCTTTGCTGTTTTGACCTTCCCTGTTCCCTTTCTGGTTATTTTCACTAACAAAAGATCAGTTCATGGGTTTACTATCAAACTGTGCAAAGCAGAGTACAAATAACTCAGCGATGCTACGCACTAAAGCGTCAAATAAGATATGTTTTTATTCCAATTCTCAGTAACTGCGCAGGTTGTTTGTAAATGTTGCGGACCTTATTCTCCCCTCCCAGCTTGAGAACTACTTCGTTCTTTATCACCAATTGTTTTTTACCTATGAGGGCAGATAATAGCTTAAATCTTTCTTTTTCTCGGTTAAATTGTCTATTAAAACGTGCTGAATGAATAATGGTTTCGAACTGACTTTTATAGTACTGTTTTCTACCTATCAGTCTTTTGAAGCCAATTAGAAATCGTTCCCCAAACTCGTCAGACAGACAGAGAAATAATCCCACAAAATTCTTATCGTGCCTCCCATAACGTCCATATAAGCATAGTAAACAAGTGCACAATTCTGTGGCCTGTCTAATAGTTTTACTCCACGTTTCTGTTCTGCAATATAGAATAAAAAGTATTTGTCTCTCAGTAGAGAGATTTTTAAAACTCTCGATTTTTAAAAATTGTCTCTCAGTAGTATTAAAATTCTTGTTGCCGTTACCAGGCCTCTTACGGAGAGGAAGAGGTGAACCTTCTTCGTCAAGAGGTCACCAACCTAAAGGCCAGGCTACAAAGGGCTGGTACACCACGCAGGGAAAGTCCTGGAGTGGGAGCTGGGGCAGATGAACAGGTAATTAGATTTCTTCATTTGATGCTATGCTTGAATTTATCATTCTTTCGGGACTGACATAGCTGCCATGTGACATAACGTGAGCTAAGCAACTTTGCGAACTCTTTCGCTCTGGGCTGGCAATGAGAAAAAAAAAGCCCACATTTACTTCGGTGATTCAGAAATTGATATCTTTGTATTGGCTGGTCTGCCGATGCGTGAAAATAAAGAGATATTTTAAACAGTGAGTTTTCCTCGGCGGAGGAAGAATTCGACTGAGATGAAAAATGTGATTAACTGCTTATTCTTCGCTACTTTCTCTTCTCCAAAAACTGCCGTGCCAGTTTTTAACGACCTGACTCGTCACGAATTATTTGTCAAAACAACGATTTCTTGACAAGGGCACTTGTCAAGTAGATAGAAAAGGGTCAAAGAGAAATTATGCGAGCTTTCTTTGCTATGATAGATTCCTCCTCACAACTTTTGTTTGATATGCTTATTTGGTTTTGACGTGATCCTTGATGCCTTCCTGTCTTGTCTATTGTCTTCTCAGAGACCAGACGTCGCTCAGTTACAGCAGCTGTTAGAAGCACAAATTGCAGAGACCAAGAGGCTCAATGACATCTTAAATACCGAGCACGCGCTGTACGGTAACTTGGTGCATGTTGTCCAAGATGCAAAGCGAGGAGAAATCAGGTTCTACAGTGTTATACCGCTGAATAAGTAGATTATGAGCTCGAGATTTCTATCGCGTGAAAGGAAGAGCTGAATAGCGAAATGTTACGTCATAAGTATGCGGTCAACAACACGGGCTCAAGCGTGCGAGGGTTAAAATCTAGCTGAATTCGCGGAAAAAATAAGCGGCTGACATTTAAAACCGAAACATTTTGTTGAGTGACGTCGAAGGCATTTCCTCTTTCTAAAATTTTTTAAGTAGAGTATTAATTTTCGAAAATATTTAGGGGATGTACAAAGTTTTTGGGGGTGGTCTTTTGAAAACAAAAGCGGCAAGGCAAACAACGCCTCGAAGCTTCAGAGTAGAAAATCAACCTTGCAAACTGATCAATCAAATCCATTTTCCGCGCCAAAACCAAGCGCATGCGTATACATTATTCAGCCCTTTCGTGTGATAGTTGGTGAGGACTTTTAGCTTTCACGTAAAGAAATTGAGAGCGAATGATTTACTAGTTTTTCACGATTAAACAGTTAGACAGGCTCTTGTTTTTTTTTTATTTTCTGACAACCGCGCGCTGTTAGGCTACTCACTGGACTCTATCTATCACGGAAGAGCGTGTAGCGTAGCCAATCAGACTGCAGCACTTGTGATAGACCACTAGTAGACTTATAATAAAACGTGTCAGTCCATTGCTGTCATTTTTATCTCAAAGATGTAATTTCCCTCAAATTTTCCAGCTGAACATTTTTGCGTGGTAAAGTTGAACATAATTTCTCTAGGTGACAAAACCTCCGAGTAGGATTTTATTTCAATTGTTGTGCGGTATTTTCGGTATCTTTCTGGTCAAAATGATAAGGCACTACCTGCTCAGTTTGTTCACATGTCTAAACCAAATTTGTTAAACTAAAATTAGTCATGCTTTTTTTGGACGTTGTTTGACATTTTAACTCTGGAGATCTTTCTGTTAATGCTCACCTCTAGCTGTAACACATTTCTTTGTTCATTAGAGAATTAAATGTTGAATCAAGTTAACAACTTCTACCGGATAAGTTTGAGTATCCTCATTTCCTGTTTGCTTGATAATGTATGGATTTTATAGGTGGATGGTACATGGAAGTTTAAGGGTTAATGAAAACAAAAGAAAGTTTCTGAAGGTTTGCTTAAACATCTACCATTTTGCTTCGAGCGGTTAATTACCTTTTCACTTACAGTCACGAAAGCAATCTTAAAGACGAGATGCAGGCATTGAAACTGCTCCGCGCACAGCTTGAGGAAGGAATCCACCTCAACGACTCATTGCGGGCTCAACTGCATGAAAAACTAGCCTCCGGCAAAACCACAAGTCCTCATCCGGGACCTCCGTATGACGCCGCTTATCAGAGGGAGATACAAGAACTTAAATCGAGGCTCGAAGATAGTGAACGCTGGAATGCTTCATTGCAGGCTCGGTTAAATGACTTACAGTCACGGATGGGTGGTGTTGGAGGTTCAGATGGAGAGGGCTCACCCTTAAAGGTTCAAAGATTAGAGCAGGTAACACTCTCGACTGGTTTCACGTATTCTTAAAGTATTTTTTGCGAGAAAATTTTGTTCCTTTTTGTAAGGAGTTTATTGAGTGGTTAGCTGGAGTGTCATTATACTGTAAGAAGGATTTTTAGGAAACAAACCTTTTGTTAAATTTCTCTTTGAATCTGTTCCGTCGTTTTTAATTTCCGCAGCAAGTGGAAAAGATGATGGAACAACTCAAACAGCGCAGCCAGCTGAATGTCAGGCTCAAGAATCAACTGGATGATATTAATACGTTACACATGCAGACTTTGGCTGAGAAAGACGATGTAATAACAGATCTGACTCGACAAATTGATAGTCTTCAAACACAATTAGACAATACGACACAAACTTTCAGCGAGTTGGAGAAAAGATTACAAGACGCGAATAGCAGACTAGAATATTACGCTACCAGTTTGAACGGTAGCCATGACGACACCCTTCTTGAGCGGGAACAAGAATTGGAAATTTTGAAACACGAGGTGGATGAGTTACGTCGACTTCAAGCTCGTGACGATCGGATCGGCTTGGACATGGCCGCGCAGACGTCACCATTGAAGGACTGGACTCAAGGGTCAAGTGATGAGTTGAGGGACCTGGAACGAAGATTAGAAGAGAGTGCGCAAACAAATGAGCAGTACAAGAATATTTTGGAAGAGAAGGACTTTGAATTACAACAGATTAAAGCAAGGGTAAGTAACTTACACTATGAACGTTTTGCCGTCAAAATTGTACTCGCCATTGCAGTGTTACTGGATTTATTAGTAGTTAAATCACGCTACAACGACGGAAAAACTCGAAACATACTTCGTACAGATTAAATCAAGGGTAAGTACATTACACTATGAGCGTTTTGCCGTCACAAGTTTTACTCGCCATTGCAGTGTTACTGGATTCGTTGGGTGAATCACGCTACATCCGCGGAGAAACTTGAAACGTTAAAGGAGATGTTCATGCTAAAATACAGTACCGTTCTAAACATCCAAAATTGTGTCCTCTGGCTCGAACGTTCGCTTGTAGAATTAAAATTTTTGGTATGCCGACAGAACGGCTGACGAGAAATCTGGCTGTCCAAACCTTTTTATTTGGGACCTTAAGCAATCAAATGGCGACGCCGAGAAAATATTTTAAACAAATTAAACAAACAGCAAGTATGTATGTGCAATGAGAATGGTAAGAGTCGCTCGAGTGGCTCCATGTCCTAGCCGTCTTAAACCGCGTCATGCCTCGTCTAGGACGAAGAATATGAAGGAAACGAACAAAGAAACGTAAAAAAAATACCTTGCGGGGCTTGTGTCGTCAGAATACATAACATTTGATAGTTTTACGTTGCTGTTTTGCAGAGGACAACTGAGTAAATTTTAAAATGTTTAAATCGAACGTGCAGAGCCATTGTTTTGCTCATTAAACGATTTGTTTATCCGCGTTCTCATTACGTAAGCCCCTTTTTACACAAACGCCTCCGGTTTCAGTGGATCGGAGTTTTAAAAGATTCCGTGCAACCTGAGACCCACAGAAGAACCTGTTTTGCATAGTTTATCTATGATTGGGTTTTAATTAGCTGTTGAAGGCGTTTAAGTTGGTTTTGGGCGCTGGATTTCAAAACTGGAGTTGCCAGGTTCAGTTTTTGTCTTCCGTCACTAGCGTGAACACCACGTTTTCAACTTCTCCTCTGCGCTCTGTAAATAACTAATTTGTTTGCCTCCCAGGAGATGGGATATTTGAAAATAGGTACTCTATTAGTTTGTATATTTACGTTGTTTTCTAATATCCCAGAAGTCCTAAATACATTGAGATACAAAGATATAAGCGTCCATCGAGAGAAGAAGTATGGGGAGCACGAGAGATCCTTTAGAGTTGTTCAGGGCGTATCTGACAACGGTTCTAACCCCTTTAGTGAACTCCAAACGCACAGCTGACTTATAAACCAATTTATTTATAAAAGTTTTGATATGGTAGTTTAGATGTTTTTGGTATAGAGAACTGAGTTTCCTCTGCGGCGCTTCATGGGCGTGTGCATGGCATTTGATTGTATGGATTTTTTGTTTCGTATGGTTTAGTATGTTCTTACCTCCAACGCCCAAGCGCATATTTTGCATTTGATACGCGCTTAACACTCTTGTCCTCACAAGGTGATCAGAAGTTCACCGCATTTTTTTTTTTTTTCATATAAGTCGTTAAACGACATCTCTGAACACTTACTTAGTAGTTTCAGTTGCACAAAAATAAAAACGTTCATTAATGCCTCATAGCTTCACTTCCTGTATTGACTCTTCCACATTACGAAAAAAATATCTGTACATGTGCATTTTTTGGTACACAGTGCTTTTGTGTTTCCCAATATTCTCTCATTTTGAAGTTCGTTTTAATTTTTTAGTTTAATTTATTGAGTATGATTTTTGTCCATTTTTATACCTGATTGAAGAACCAACCTTTCCATACTTGTTCCATTTTACAGGAGGCATCAAGAGATATTGAAAATTCTAAAGCGAAAGAAAGAGAAATGGCTGAAATCCAGAGACTTCGCGAGGAATATCTAACAGGTATCAAAACAAACGAAGAACTTAAAAAGGCTCTTGAAAATGAAAGGGAAAAGAACCGTGACAGATCAAGGACTTCGGATGGAGTCCTGGAACTTCGGCTACAGCTCGACGAATCCTTACAGAAGAACGAAGATCTTCAGCGACAGCTTCACGAAAGTGCCCGATCGGAGGACGAAGTTGACCGACTGAGGCACGAACTGCAAAATGCCACCCAAATAAATGAATCGTTAGGGTCGCAGATACGGGAATTCAACGAATCGTTTTCCAAAATAAAAGGGGTTAGGGCAGATGCGGTTAAAATGCAGAAAGAACTAAGAGATGCTCAGCGTTTGAATAAAACACTCACAGATCAGCTCAAAGAGACGAGGAAATCTGCAGAGGAAGTTGGCAGAGTACAGCGTGAACTGAGGGAGGCCAAAATGATGAATGATCAGCTTGGCAAACAGCTGTCTGAGCACCTAAATCACTCCGCCAAGATGAAATCCCAAATTGAAAAGTGAGAATGTGTTCCCTCATTTGTCCATGTTACGGTTGTCAGTTAAGTGAAGCGCGGAGAAAGTTTGTTGAAAGGGTTTTGACCCTTAAATAACGATGTTGTTAGAGGCCAGGCAAACTTCCCTCGATTTCAATTGTAACCGAATCTTGAGTGCTGTGCGTCACCAACTGTCAAACGTAAAGGCCCGTTACCACTGGTAAAGGAGCCATTTTCCCGTAACAAGAACGCGATTTTTTTTGGTCGTCAAACCTCCGTTGCGCCTCACTCGACTGAAAATGATAGTTACGGTAGGATTAATAAGTGGTAGTAGAAAATGTTAATCTTCAACTCTTGAGTGTAAGAGCGGCAGCTCTAAGTAAACAAATTAAGTTTTGTTTTTAATGTGCTGAGAATTTGGTGTTGAATCCTTACAATGACCCCCAACTGATGAATTTGTGAATATGTGCCATCTGTTTCTCGTATTCTTACTGAAGTGACCACAATCCGTGTCCCTTCAACCTTGGTTATTTACTAGCGTTTTCACTTCAGTTCCCAATCTCAACGAATAAACATGTACTGCTGATGTAGAGGATGTCAACAACACATCTGAACCGCCATGCCGCGCGCATGATATTAAGCAACACCTGTTTTGTTCTTTAGATTGCAGCATGAACTGCAAGAGAAAGATAAGGTTATCGAGACATTACAGCTGAGACTTAAATCCAAACCTGAGATGCAGTCCATAGCACTGTCTCCATTTTCATCGCCTTCCCGACGTTTTGTAGAAACGCAAACCAGTCCACGTTTGGCAGCGGCGGCTTCACTTCGGGTAAGTGGAGCTAAAGGTCACTTGATAAGACATTTACCGACGTAGTTGTCCAACTCTCGCCCCCTTCCCCTCCCCTATTGGGTGCTTTCGGTTCTCGCTTGAGTTTCCCTCCAGGTTCGATCGAGGTGATGTGATGAGATGAGACACCCGCACTCTTTCTGATCATTGTGGACACAACTCAAATTTGAGTTTAGTTTATGGTCTTATTTTAAACACAATATATACGTAAATGATCTTTCAGTCAAGTATGTTATGTTATACCCATTGAGCACTAGAATTTTCGCATGTAGTGGGAACCTTGTCCCCTGAGTATAGGAGCACCAGAAGAACGGTTCCACCATATTTGAATTTAAGCTCCGTGAAATAATTGTAGTTAACTTGTTACAGGTAATCTTTTTTTTTGGGGGGGGGGAGCTATTCGAAGTTTAACCCCTAAGTTTTCTTCCAGGGTACCCGGGAGAGTTCACCGCAATCTAATTCTTTGTTTGAGGCCAATGAGAAGCTTCAGCAAATGAACAGAGTGCTTCTGGGAGAAAATCATCTGCTGAAGAGCAAACTGAAAGACAGTGAAAAATTGAACGAGACACTAAGGAACGAGAACGACATGTTCTCCAGATTACACAATCAATCCACCGAAACGCAAGCCACGAGCCAAAAAAGATCCACCATGGACGACCTTTTGGCCGGGTTCATGGCTGAAATGCGCGAATTGCGCTTGCGCTTAGAGGATAGTATTCGCACCAACGACGCATTGCGGGCGCAGTTGGAGATGCGATTATCCGAGGGGACAGATGACGGTAGTGCAGCGAGTGGTCCTGATCAGATTATTTTGATTCGTGAGAATGACTCTCTGCGGACTGAGTTAGTTGAAAAAGATCGAGCCAATGAGAAGTTAAAGCGAACCATCGATGGATTAAAGCGAGAGCAAACGCGGTAAGTCTTTGGTTACTGTTTTGAAAATATTCTACACAAGTTACACACCTTATCATGAGAAAACTGAACGCGGTGGGTCAATGGTCCGGACCAAGCGATCCAGATTCAAACCGTTATAGAGAAACTTCGCGTAGTTTTTTTTTTTTTTTTCATCTCCTGCAGAACGTTAACTAGCAAGCCTCGATTTTAATGTTTACCAGTGAACCCCTGATTTCAAAGTTTCCCAGTAAGCCTTGATTTGAAGGTTTCCTTGTAAGCCTCGATTTGAAGGTTTATCAATGAGCTTCGGTTCGTAGAACTCGGCCAAGTCTCTCTTGTGCGCTTCCAAACATGATATCGAATACGGGTCATTGGTCCTGGTGAATTGAAAGGGAAACGTGATGAATTTTAATGAGGAGAGAGAGAGAGAGAGGGGGGGGGGAAAGAGATAGGTGGGCGGGGAGGGAAGGGGACGTGTGATGAACTGGCATTTTATCAGTTAAGGGTTAAGAAATTACTCAAAGTCAGTTCATGACACGGACGCATCAGGATAAGCACTGCTGGTGGGGACCAGGCTCACGTTAGACCTGGACAATTTTTAATGAGAGCAGGGTTATTGTTAAAAGACAAAATTGAAATCTAGCAACAATTTACATAAAGTTTAGACTTATTTAAGTGTTAAGAAAATGAATGGAAATAACATTTATTAGCAAAAGCTATTCAGTTAAAAAAAATGAGCAGTTGACAGTTTTCTATTTCAATGGCGGTCTTACTTTGCAAGTAGAGTAATAGTTATCTTTTCCTTCTGAGATAAAATAGTTTATCAAGTATAATTTTAATTCTGCCAAAAAGTTAATTATAATTTTTATATTATCAATCTTGTTTCTGTTTTGGCCGATCTTAACCGCAAAAATAGGAAATTTTACTCAGGAAGTCATTTTGTAAAGCGTAAACAAATCGAGAGCGCATACTTAGTGTGCAGGAACTGTTGCACGTAACTTAACGTGATTTGCTGGTTGAGATAGAGCGACAACGTTGCAAGAAGATTGCTAGCCTAGTAGTGTCGCCTTTATAAGCTGGTGAACGGCATTTTCAATTAGAATTGAATTGAATAGAGTTGAGAGTTAAGGTCTGAGTTAGTCCCCATAGCGATAAGTTGTAATAAGAAAATCAAGCAAGAAATAAAGAAGAATCCACTGAGTGTTAGATAAAGCAACTAACTATAACTAATTATAAATGAAATGGTGCTACGCGCCGGTTATGGCCTTTGGACAAACCTTAAATTATCTCGCTGTTAGTGTTAAAAGCTGATCATGGTTAACTTCTTTTTGTTTATGCAGGGACAAAGAGCAACTCGATCTTCTCCGCCAACAGATGTTGGAGAGCACCAAAGTTGCTGAAAACCTTAGAAAAGAATTGAGTGTTTACGAGAAGCTCTACAAACTTTCTTACGAAGGCAAGAACATCGAAGTACAGACAGACGGTATGTATGTTGACAAAGTTGACAAGACCGTTTGAGCCCTGGGGCAATCTTGGAACTATTTCATACTAATTCTATGATTCTGATTTCCTTTAATCGTTTCATTTTTAACCCCATGTATCGTGGTGTTTGTCTATCAATCATGGCAAAGTTTCTTTTCATGGCCTTCCAATGGCAAACTGAACTCTCGGTTTTCGTGCTTGAGCTGCCACTCGACCACTAAGCAACATGATACCTCCCTTGGCTTCGAATGTTCTTAACTATATTCTAGGGCCTCTCTATTGCCAGCAGCCACTTAGCGTTAGAAGCCAGAAAAGGTCTGGCAGTAACAGCCCGAGAAGCAGGAAAACGCGGCTTTCTGAGTCGCGATTGGCTTTAGTTTTGCATCTGCTTGGTCCAATGACCACTTTCAAAGATGGCTGCCGGATTAATATTCTTTTGTTTAAATTTAAATTGGCCTTTCTGGCCTCGCTTGAGATAATGTATTCTTTTGAATTTTGTACTGGAGAACGAGGCCAGAAAGGCTAATTTAAATTTAAACAAAAGAATATTAATCCGGCACCCATTTATGAAAGTGGTGAAAATTGGCTGATAAACCGATCTCTGACATTTCCTTAGGGCAAAGTTATGGCAGTGAGGGACCTAGAAGTCCTAACAGTGAGTCCCAGCAAGACGCCCTGTCGATGTTATTGGCTGAAATCCGAAGCCTCCGAATCCAGCTGGAGAAAAGCATTGAAACCAACAATGCACTGCGGCTTAGACTTGAAGAGCAACTTAGCCGGCCTACCAGTTCACCGTCCCAGTCTCCTAGCAGATCTCAAGTCACAGTCATCCGACAGCTGGACTTCTCCGAGGGGAAGGGAGGGGAGAGTAGAAGTACTGTTGAGTCTGGAAGAGGTAGAGCGTCTGAGAAATAACCATTTTGTTTTGACTGTATATACTTGTGTCATCGTGTGCTATCTTGTTGCAGCTTTTTATGGGTAAGCCTCGAACTCTTTTGTCTTGTAGACCTTGAAAATGGTACAATTTGTACCGAGAAGCCACAAGTTTTGAATCAGCTTGAGGAGAAGTTAAACTCAATCAACAAGGTTGCAACTGAGGCCTACAATAGCGTCATATCAACCTCGCAGGTAGTTTGTTTTGTGTCACATAAAGGCTGGATTTAATGGTCTATTTTCCTAATATTTATATCTTTTTATCTCCACAGACCGATGTTCTGCCTTATATTGAAAATATTTTGAGAATTATTTTACAATGCAAGGCGCTGTTGAAGGTGTTGCATGTCGAAACTTCCTGTCAGCGTACACACAGTGGTTCAGAAGATGCTGATAAAGAGGTAAGGCTATTTATTTCTTAAAGGAAGCCACAGCGACAGAAAATAAGACGCGAGATCTCAGCGTGTTCAACAAAATTGAAATGAGTTTGTGCTGCCTTGCGATTTTATGCCTTGAGTTGCCGACCTTTATAGCGCAAGTTTTCCGTGCTGTGTTCCAACATCGATTAAGTTTAAATTTATTTTTTTTGCCTCTAAATGCGTGGCTTTCCTTTCTTTAGCAACCGCTTCTTGCCTTTTACTGTAATAGTTCAATGATAACTCTGTTTGCTGTACTTCTATTTTTGATTTTTTGATTTTGTGTTTTTTTTCCTATCTCTGTAGAATGAAAGTCTTAATTTCGAAATTGGAAAATTAAGACGTCGACTTCTTATCCAAGAAGATATAATTAAACGAGCGTGTGAAAGACTAGAGGTAAGCCACTGTCCACGTGACGTAACAGGACAGGGTTTCATCGTTATTTTTTACACAGCTTTCTTGCACCAATCTAACTATTTCTTTAACTTGCTCTTGAAATATCACTGATCCTTTATGACTGTCTGTCTTTTCTTTGAAGTACGAGAATAATTGGTTCAACAGATACACTATTTTAGTCATCTGCCCTTAATTAAGTGGAATTCAAAGTTGATCGCTCGTAGAGGTTCAAGGGTAAATTGTGTATTTTACCCCACCCCGCATTAGTCTTTTTTTTCTCTCTGTCTCTGTGCTCAAACTTTTAACCTGAATGTGCTCAGGGAATACGTCTTGCTGCAAACTGATCGTTATCCCAGTAATTCTATCAAGCTGGACGCTAACAGATAAAAGTAAACTGCATGACATGTCTAAAATTACTGACTCACTCCCCTGAAACGACTTTTTAGTAACAATTGAACTGTAACTTTAAACGATCGATTAGTAATCGTGATTAACTTGAACATAAATCCCTAACCAACTGTTGGTTTTGTTCTCTTTGCCTCGTGTCATGTGTTCAATTTTCTGTCTGAATTCTTTTTCTCTTCCTGTCCAGCGTTGATAACTCGAGAGTTCTACTGTCCTCTAATCCATGGTAACAATTGTAATATCCTAACTGCTCATGCTTCTCAATTAAGTTGGCATTAACATATCACAACACCTTTGAACCTTGCGATTGCTCTAAAATCTAACCACGTAACACCATAACGTAACAAATCATATAAAAAAAAAAACTAACATGTTCAGTACGAAATATTAATTTAGATGAACTCATCATTGGTCGAAAGTGTTTGGCTGACTCGTGTTGCGTCTGACTGGCCAGTTTCGATTGAATTTTACGCCACCTAAGTAACAAAGGAGTTCGTCACGGTGCTTTACTCTCCTCGCGCTGGGAAAGGTTTAGTAACGTGAGAGAACTTAGTTTAGAGTTTTTGTTTCTTTCTTGTCGGTGTATTTTTGTTTGTTTGTTGTTCCGTCGATCATTTGTTCCTAATGGAAAGTTGTCAAGTGACCAAAGACAGAACTTGAAGTTATTAAGAAAAAAATCTCGCGCAAAAATAAACTAATTAAGATTTGATAGGTTATGTTTGATGTAAAAGTGTTGGCTTTTTCTCCATCAACTGTCTGAAGCATTTTTAAACTCCATCTGAGTAAATGTCGGGTTTTTCTGTTTCTTCAGACCACAAATAAAGTCAAGGAGAGCACGCGTGATGAGATTATTGAACACTGTGAGTATTTATGACCACTTGAGTATGGGGAGGTGCAAAAGAATACACATATAGTCTTATGGTCTTCACTGCTGACACAAACTTTGTTTGACCGTGGGAGTTGCGTCCTTTTGGAATGAACGACAACTTGATTTACTTTGAATCTGTGAATGGCCTATAGAGCTTAACTTAGTTTCGTTTAAGAATTCCTTTGACATAGTTAAATCAGCGATTTTTCTTCTGGCCATCGCTTAACGTAACCCATGTGAGACTCGTTTAGACCATCGAGCAAAAGGAAGAGTACCCAGAGGGTATAATGCGATTATGGTTCCAAGCGTGTGAAGAAGACTAATGGTTTCAAATGCGGGTGAAAGTCGTCTTAAAGAATCTTCCGTTTTTGATTTTATACCTGATAGGTTGAAAAGCAAGACTTTCTTTTTTTATTGGTTGAAGGGTATTCTTCATAACTAAAGTTTTAAACCCATTAAGGGTTGAATAAATAGGACCAGAGCATTTTAAACCTTCATAAACAACCTTGATCAGAGAGGCGCCGATGAGTGCCTGCTCTCAAGTTACTAATAAAATGACATTTCTTAAAAAAAAAAAGTTAAATTAAACACTTAAGTCGGTATGTTGATGAAGTATACGATAAATTTAATACTATCTAGTGAGATATTTACCGTCTTATTTAGAGTTCCTTCTTAAATCCTCCCACCCCCCTGATAAAGACATAATTTCATTTTTGAGATGTGCGAAGTACCAACAAAGTGAAAATGTCACTAGTCGTGTACCCAAAAGTAAAGACGAAGGAGGCGAAAACTTAAGTCGTATTTCATCTCTATTTGAGCCTAATCGGCAGGCATCTTAACTCACAAACTGCACATCTGACGTGTGATTCAACCATAAGTGCTACCGCACAGAAAATAAATGCGATTTTCGTGGGGAAAAACTGTGAAACGAGCGGCGACTTTTTAAATTTTCGCATGAACCTAGCCTTTCTTAGCTCACGGAGCCCACAGTAAAAGAAAATGAATTATCAAGTTAAGTTTTACGAAAACGCAGGAAAAGACACTTTAGAGATAATTATCTTTGTAATGCTCCTTTACAATGGTGTTCGTGGATAGTTCACGCGTTTTAACCCTTTAATAACTTAAGAGTGATGAAAATCTACTTCCTGTCGTCAAGCAGATTTTGTATGACAAGCTGAATTCTACACGCATTTTTGGCTCTTACTCATGATCTATTGGAGGTCAGACGCTTAGCGTTAGCGAACTTGCGTGACGCACGCGATTAGCGCGCCCTTTGAAACTTCGTATGATTTTCGCGTGTGCGAGTTTTAGTTGTGAGTGTTTGAGTCGCAATTTTCGAGGTTGTTGGTGTTTTTTTCTGAGTTTACCGTGTTACAATTTTTGATTCGAATAAACGTGCTTGCTTTTTAAAGAGATTTCCGTTTCCGGAATTTATTTATTTTATGTGTTTAATTGTTGTCAATCTTGACGTTACTCTATGCATCTGTCGTTCGACAGATTATAGAAAAAAAAAAAACTAATGAAGATGCGTGCGTAATTCATATTATCAAAAAACTATCTGCTTGACAGGGCTCTTACGTGTTGAGCAACAGGAGGGTTGTTTCTGTGCCGGAAGGGGAATTTTGATGGATTGCTAATACCACACTTTCTTGTTTCCATTCTTAAATCGAAAACATGCTGTTTTTCCCCTTTTTTTTTTAATTATTTTTTAACTAAAAGTTAATTTATATCATTGTGTTCCAGTATCCATCTCACAGAAAGTCTTATCCGGTGCCAGGGGAAAATTAGAGGTCAGTTACCATAGTTACTGTAGAGGGCGAAGATTTAATTACGTGAACAAGTCAAGATAAACGTGATGGCTTGTATGAGAGCAAAGTGAACGAATGACTGATTCAAACTATCAAATTTTCTGCTTTCTCAAGAGCAGGATATGTTAGGATTACATCAGAATAAATAGGTTTCACTTTGTACTATAATTGTCACAGGTTGTCTAGAACTACAAACAACAAAAATAAGTTTATTAGGTCTTGCAAAACAATTAATTACAATGAACACTGCCTGCAAATTGCGAGCTAATCTAGGCGGGCGGTGTAAACTTCGACGTGGGAGGAAATTTTAAAGTTTTCACGAAACTTAGACTGTTGTTTAATGGCCTAGTTAATTCATATGTAGCCTTTGTCGTACTTGGTTCTTGCAGTTTTCTGAGACATCTTTTCAGTAAGGAGCACTTGTGTTAAAGTTGCCCGAATTGATTGTTTAATTTATCTTTTTCAGAATCGTGTTCGTTCAAGAAAGACAACTAAATGAATAAGAAGGGGTGCACAATTGTGAAATGGTAAAATTTAAAGCTGTACAAAAATTTGTTTTGTACGTAAGTTAAAGAAATTTGTTTTAAAAAAAAAAATTCTCTATTTTTTATCAATCACAAACCTATTTTTCTGTGGAAAAATATGTTTATTTTGTCGTTAAACAATAATAAAAACCAAAGATAGTGTTATTGAAGACCAGTATTTAAAATTTGTTCTGTTAAAGAAAGAGGTGTTCACTGATATTGTGCATTCACAATTGAAAGTTGAAAGAAGGGAACTTGATATCAATGGTCTCTCAAAGGCTTTTTTTTTCGTATCGTTGCTACAACAATTTAGACCTTTGACCGTTATTTTAACCCATAGCTTATAGCTAAATAACAATTTTAATACCCCGGTGATAAATCCTTTTGATTCCACTTTCAACAGTTATAATTCGTAACAACAACAACAACAACAACAAAAAAAACACCGACTAACTTCATACAATAGCTAAACCATCGTCCTCGAGCGAAAATCATCACGCACAAATCGCGAGTCCAATGTTCATAGCATGTATTTCCATGACGTCACGCAATACTAAAATAAAAATTGGTTAAATTAAGTTAACGAGCTTGGTGGTGGTTGAACCAGCCGCAACTTTTCCCGGTTTCTGTTGCATGAATTGGTAACGAGTACTATTGCTCAGAGCTTAACTGTCCTTGAAACAACTGCTGCCTCGAGGAAGCATTCAAGACTCGATGAAACTTGAGCGAGTTCCTCTCTGGAGTGATTAACATGTAACTTCTCCTTATAATATCCCATACATTATTCAGCAAACAGGTAATGAGAATACTCAAACCTATCAGGTATAGATTGTTATCTTGATCTATCACCAAATTCTCGTAACCGACTTAAGAATGGCTGCCTGTAAGGATCGAGAATCGTCCGTCAGCGACCATTTTGGTGAATTGCTCATATTTTGCTCAACGATACCCTTTGGTAAACTGTTTTCAAAAATCGAGTTTAAAAGTTCCGACGAGTGTTAATTTTTTAGAAATTTGGGAAAATTTGTAAACGTGATTTAAGTGCGGTTTTCCGCCTGGCAAATTGTCCAAAATTCACTGCAAAACCCAAGCTCCGTTGAAGGCTTAAAATGAATTCAGTTAACACCAAACTTCACACGTTTTAAGGGGGAGAACAGCATTCTGTACAAGCATTTCAGTGTACCAATGCGAATTATTTCTATTTATCATAACCGACGTCCGATCCCAGCAAACACGCACCACATGAGACCCTAAATGGGCTGTCATAAATATACCAAAGACTGAAAAAAACAAAAACTTCACTCAAGGTCTGATAACCACACGATAACACTTTTACACTTCAATCTCAGATTTACTACAAAGGAAAAAGGATAGTGCGTCAGTATACCCAGTGTACTGTGGGAAAGGAAGATTCTCGTGTTTCTCTGAAAGAAGGCTGGGCTCTCAGAGTAACAAAGAAGGCTTACAGATTCAACGAAAAACAAAAGTCGTACCTTCTGTCTAAATTTCGAATAGAGCAGACGACAGGCCACAAGCTTGACGCTGAGGTAGTTGCTCGAGATATCCGGCGTGCCCGGGCATCGATGGTGCACGACAAGAAACTCACAACTACCCAGATCACCTCTTTCTTCTCAAGACAGAGTGCGTTAGTACGCCAATGAGATGGTGATGACAGTGATATCCGAGCAGCTCAGGAGGAGAGTAATTTTAGCGAAGCAAAGGAGACTGTCCCGTCAATACAACTTGACCATCCCCTGATCTACGATCAGTACGATCTTTGTGAAATGGCGCTAAAGGACTCTTTGAAAATCTTGAGGCTACCCATGTTGCAGCACATGTGTGAAGATCTTGGCCTCAATTTACCATCAAAGCCCATTCGTAAAAAGGCCCCGTACTTGGCTGTACTGAAAGAGATTGTCAGCGAATGTACTTACCAAAAGTCATCATGATGCTGACTTTCTCTTTTTTTTAGCAGAATAGGAAAGTGAGGAAGAAACGAATGAACGGCGTATCGTTCCTAATCGTCAGTTAGTGGTTATCTTATTTTTTAAAAATGCACGTAGGCCGGATCAGAAGTTGTTGCGTTTTGTTTTGTTTTTCTTTTAATCATGCAAGTATTGACCCCCACTTTTCTTTTCTGGTCTTCAAGTCAGTAATGAAGTTTACTCATCTGGTAGCCGAAATATGCAAACTAACGGATGCGGGAGTATTCAACCTACATTTCTATCCGCTCATGTTTTAATGCGGGATTTTCTCTAATTTTCTGATTTTCTCTTTCTCTAATTTAACGACGTCGTCCTTTCAGTTGCGGTTTTTTAAACGCGCGTATGTTCAAGCACCCCCAAAACGTTTCCAATTACGTTTCGTTGCGTGACATTAATAATTACCAGGAGAATAACACCTGTTCTCTTGTATTAAATTACTTTGAAGGTCATAAGGCGCCTTTCTTTGTATTTATACTTACAGAAAATGAGTTCTCATTGTCAAAGATAAAAAGTATTTAGATTATCAGCGTGGAATCAAGTCTTAAGTAGCTTCTTTCGAATGTATCTTTTGCATTACTTGAATGTGAGAAGGTGGTAATGTAATGTGTACTTCACTTGCAGATTTTTCAGCCCAAAAATGTTTTGGAGAACCTTATCAAACATCTTGCAAAATTTTTGACCTGTCTCTCTACATTTTACAAGCTATAAGTCACTACAACGGAGACCGAATTTAATTTGGATATTTAACAACTCAATATGGTTAAATTACCTAGTTATTTGTTTACACACTTTGCATAATTTTGCTCGCTCAGGTCACGAACACTTCTGACATTTTCGAAAGGAAGCAATGCGATTCAGAGCATCAAAAATTGCACAGTGAATGGAAATAGCATTGTTTGACGAATATATTGTTAAAAATCCAAAGTGTCAGGTAACAGCTACATTTTTTTCGCGCGAAATATCACCTGTTTTCAACGCCATTTTGCGTAGTCTGTAAGGATGTTCTTTCAAGGGCTTAAGTGATCCCAAAATCGATGTGCCCGAAAAAATATACTCACCAGAATTGAATAAGAATAGCTTTCCTTACAACGTGTGAAGTTTGACTGATTTTATTTTAAGCCTTGAGCGGAGCTTGGTTTTCGCAGTTAATTTTTGACTGTGCGACATGCGGAGCCTGAACTCAGGTAACCTGAAACCGCGTTTTCAGATATTCGTAAATTTATGAAAAGTTAAGAATCGCTGGAACTTAAAAACATGATTTTTGAAAAGGGTTTACTGAAAGGTTTCTTTGGGCGAAATATGAGCAATTCACCAAAATGGTTAAAAGAGTCGTTCAACAAAATGAGCAAGAGATATCATAGTTTTCCTACAGCTGAGGTCGTAATTTGCATAATGGTGATCGATGTAACAACCGTATGTACATTTTCGACACTGATTTTATTTTCTTTCTGCTCTCACGCAACTCTGAATGCATGATTTCCCTTTCACCTAATATCTTGTGGCATAATAGCTAAAAATTTCCAAACTTAAAGTTGATTTCAAAACCTTTTTCTACCTGGCAGGGAATAATTAGATTAGCGTTTGTTTACACAACATATGTCTTTGCTCGCTCAGGACACAAACATTTGTGGTATTTTCAAAAGGAAGCGTTCCGATTCAAAGCCTCAAATTTTACTCAGGTATTGAATAATGACATTTTATTACGAATATCTAGTTAAAAATTTAAAAAATTATGTACCAGGTATACTTTTATCGCGTTAAATTTTACCTATTTTTCGCCCCATGTACAGCACTTTTTGAGGGTGTTGCTTAAGGGACAAAAAAAAANTAAAACGTGTGAAGTTTGGTGTTAACTGAATTCATTTTAAGCCTTCAACGGAGCTTGGGTTTTGCAGTGAATTTTGGACAATTTGCCAGGCGGAAAACCGCACTTAAACCGCGTTTTCAAATTTTCGCAAATTTCTGAAAAATTAACACTCGTCGGAACTTTTAAACTTGATTTTTGAAAACAGTTTACCAAAGGGTATCGTTGAGCAAAATATGAGCAATTCACCAAAATGGTCGCTGACGGACGATTCTCGATCCTTACAGGCAGCCATTCTTAAAAGGAAATATGTAGCAGCTAGAGGGGAGAATAAACAATCAGATCGTGGAAGTGAAAGGGTTAAAGATTGGCAGGATTCCTTAATGTGAAAGGAATTTGGGCATTTTATGCACTTAAGAATCGTAAACATCTCTCTCCCATATACATATTACCATGGCAAGTATTTTCTCCCATCGCCAATTTAATCAAAGTTTAAACTATGACAAAAAAGACATATCCAAGAGATTGTTGATCTAACTCATTATATTTCACAGAAAGTAATATCTGTTTCGTTAGTGAATATTTTTGGATCCAGTTTGAAAAAATATATTCCTATAAGCTGTGGAAATAAAGCTACAACAAATCTATTAAAATATATAAATTAAAAGAAACATTTTGAATTTTAACGCAAAATTGAATTTTCCAAACATTGGTTGAATCCATGATTATGGATGTAATTTTACTTATTTTCGCTCCTTTGGACGAAAGTCGTAACCTTCTGCTATGACAAGCGAAGATAGATTTACTAAAAAGCTGACGGCAACAGGCGCATTTGTGCTTAATATTATAAACTTTTCCTCTTTCTGTCAAGAATGATGTTCAGAGATTCGTGAACTTTCTCCAGTTTTGGTGATAATGGACAGGGCTGAGGTGTGTAAATGAAATACACGCAAACATTTAACACCCTAACAACGTAGCTACGCGGCCAAACTATTTTTCTCCTTCAGTAATATATTCTACTAGCAAGGGAGGCATGCAAGCAAATGTTGCCTAGAATAATCAAACCCGTGATAGTACCTTGTAACTCTTGATGATGAATTACTTCAGTTTCCTTTTCAAAAGGGAATTACCTTCTGCTACAAAAGTCAAATTAAAGGTAACGACAGTAACGTTGGTAAGATAAGAAATGCCCTTTAGAAACAGAAAAAAACAACCACCTTGTTTTGATGAGTTTGCCCAGCACCACCCAGTGGCGACAGTAACATCTTCACTGCAAGCGGTGAAAATGCCATTGAAGACTAACAGAAATGCTGTTAGTTCACCGATATTTGTAATCAAGGAATCTTAAGAACGTACAGGATTAATCTTATGAATATTTCGTGAACTTGTAAGATCCGTTCGAATTGTTTTATTTTTCGTCCATTACTTCCCGTCCTTTAATGACGTCATCACCCTCATGTAGTTCTTGTCCAGCTTCTTTCAGTTTGTTTACTTGTTTCTTTTCTCGCGCGACCTTGATCAGGATTTCAAATCCATAAATGATTGTTAAAACTGCGATGAAGATGGCTGTGGCTGGGTCTATCAACCAGGCTGAGCTACTCAGCTCCAAAACTAACGCGCTCAGAATCACACCCACTGACATTCCCGCGCCACTGAGGGCATCGATAGAATCCGCAACCAAAGCAGAACTGTCTAATTTCCTAGCCAGACACAGTTTAACACAGAAGAGGAGGAAATACCCCACACAGCTTACTACTGACATGATTATTAAAGCCGAAGGTTTCCGTGGTTCCTCGTCCAACACGATGCAAACAATCGCTCGCCCAGCGACCAGCGCTCCCGAAACGATAAAACACACAGCGATGATGTTACAAGCCTTCCATTCTCGTTGGGTTTTTCCCTCGCCGTTAATTCCATAGTAAAACCGCCACACAACAGATACAGAGGACGTAATGGCCAATATTGCGTCAAAAGCCACCGCGAATGCCGAAGAGCTGTCGGATATTTCAGAAACTACAAATGCGCCCAACCCGAGCAAAGTCGTGAAGACGATTGAAAGCAGACAAATCACGATAGTCATTTTACGCCATTTTTCTAACTTCTCATAGGGAATTCTCCCATTTTTGTGATCACTAGCCTCATCTGTATGTAACAAAGATTGTTGCTCGTAGTCGGTTTTAGCGTCATGGCTATTTCCCAATTCCTCTTTGATTGAAGGAGTGGATTTATCCATCGTCTAATCGATCTCAGCAACTCGGCGCGGTCAACATTGTTTTGACCGTTTTACAAGCTTATCATAGAGAGACACTCGTTGTTTTATCCTGAATCATTAAGATCAGTCTATTGGCTAAATCAAGGATTCCCTGCAAGTGTGGGCCTAATATATACTCAATCAATCAAAATATTCCTTTACTCCATTTATATTCTATTGTCGCGTCAGACTGTCAGTACCTGAAACTTCAAGAGAACATTCAAATTTATGATTTTCTTTTTGCCGTAATGCACTTCGCCCGCTGAGCTTCAGAGATTACAAGTATTCGAGGAAAAAAAAGAGAAAAAGTACAGAAGAACTTCTCACTTTTCAGTTAATTGCACTTTGCTTTCAACAAAAACATAGCAGTTTCTCTCAGGTGCCTAGGAGCGGGGTGAAACAGAAAGTATGTGCAAAGTAATTAGCCTAGCGCGGAGCCGGTTTGTTTTCTTTTTTTAAATGGCTTTTATCTCGGTCAAGCATCACTCTCTCTCTCTCTCTCTCTCTCTTACCAGCTGTTGCCTAAGGAAAGTTTTCGACGAAAACTCTAGAAATGTTTCCTCATTTTTGATTTAAGTATTGCTCCATTGAATTCTTCTGAATATATTTTGTGTGAATAAATTGTCTCTTGTATTCCCATTCTTAAGCAATCATTGTTTTAAACACTTTTGTTTGGCTCAATAGCACCTGAATAACATCACTGTTTGTTTATATCACCGACGCCTCCGATTATAAGAGACCTTTCAGAACATTATTTTCTTATCCTGTTAGGCAACAAGCTTTTAAGAGGTTTTAACGTTGAAAAGGAAACCAAAGATAAATATTTGGTCGGAATTTACCGACCACGTTTCGTCTCCTGGTCTCCGCCTGCAACTGAATCAAAAATTAACATGTGCACGTTAGTTATTTGGAATTTAGTAATTACCATTAAAATGCTTCATGTTATTCCTCTTTACATTTTTTTTACTTACGATCTAAAAATAATTTGAAAGAAACCCTGACGGAAAATGTGGTGACCAAATTATGAGTGGTAACGATTTAGATTTGACTCTGGTTTGCTTTCCTCCTTCGTAGGAGAGTCGACATTTTTACCGATTAAAGATCTGTTTCTAATGCAAATACTACAATATTATCGTCCTCAAATAATATTGCATTATTACAATAATGTTACAATATTATCGTCCTCAAATTTTGTTGTGTTCGTACATTTTATTCAAGGTTCTTGGCTGCTATTTTGTATGGCATCAGTCAATATGGGGCAAGTTAACGAGCTCTCTTTTATTTATATTTAAAAACAATTACACCTTTGATCTCTACTCAAAAGTAGCTAGCCTCTAATTTCCTTTCCTATGAACGGTGAATAAATCAATAAGGTCATAAGAATAATAAAGAGGAAAAATTGTCTCATTATTTAACAATTGGTTCATGCTTTAGCGTGCACTATCGAGTTATGGAGCACGCGGGAAGTTTGGAGAGCACGAAAGAAGCGTAAGAGTTGCCCGAGGCGATAGCCGAGGGCAACTCTAGCTTCTCAAGTGCTCTCCAAACTTCCCACGTGCTCCATAACTCGATAGTGCACTGCTGAAAGCATGAACCAATTGTTTTAGAACATAGCCGGTGGAATTGTGCATCAAATGCGACGCGAAAAACGGACAACAATATCAGTTGAAGCGAATCGTGACGGCGCTGATGCCGAGTCTCCTTTTCCTTTGTTTTTCTCTTTTTCTGCCTCATTTAAGAACTCTAGCCCATGGGAAAAGGTCGAAACATTGTCTTCGTTTTCGGACTAGCAGGCCGAGTTTCTGTTTGTATCCATTATTGTCGCGAAATGTATTATTTTTCCCCGCACTAGCAATGG